CTACAAATTCGAGGTACGAGCATTGGTATCTCGGTAACCGTAATAAGATACGAACATGGTTAAATTGGGGCAAAGTTGCGTATTAGGATGTTCACCAAGATGCCATTAAAGAAGTTTTAAAAATTTCATGGATTGCTGAGATTTTTGAAAACACTGATTTTTTTGAAAATAAATTTTATTTTTTCCTGTCGTTACTTTTTCGAAAATCGAAAAACTAATTGCACATTCTCATAGCCACTTTATTACGGCTATTTGATGGTATTTTTAGATTTTCAAATTAGCTGATAATTTGTGCAATTCAGAGGCCAACTTATTTTTTTTAAATACGGACCTGCATTTTTTATTTCAGGTTTTGAAAGAACTCGGTCTCCTGAATACAATGATATGCCACACTTTATACTTTTTTTATTTTTGGTACCTTAACAGCAACAAAACTATTTAATTATTATTTAAAATAATTTCAAGTCCGACTCTGGTTTTTTAAATTATTTAATCTGATTATATTCATCGCAATAATATTGATCAGCGCTAATTAACACTGAATAAGGAAAATCGATCCAAATGGAAGATTCAAATAAATAATATCCAGGTCAGAAATTTAAAGATATCATTTTTAATTTTTTTTTATTGTGAATTTGAAATCTCAGTGTGCGATCTAATAGTATACATAATATTAATCGTAGTTATTATAAATAAATCAACTTCTAAAATCTAGTTTCTAATGTTCTACATGTTCGAAAGGGTTACCACCCTCCCTATTGCACAGATTTATTTTAGTACAATTTTATTTATAGTTCTTTAAACTTTCTTCTTATACTTCCGAATGCATTTTGTACTCTTTATTGTAAATGTTGAGATGAATTGATTTGACACTTTTACAAATGACGTCAAGTAATAGCGATAGGTTCGGCAACCTCGCTGGACATCATACTGCTCTACCATTTCCAATCCATCTCGCGGGAAAATGATTTTATTGTTTTTATTATATTAAATTTATATTAATTATTTTATATGATTTTCCGTATTCAATGTTTAACCACACGTCATTGTTAAGTTTGAAAGCTTATCAATATTGTAACGATGAATAGATTAAATATTAAAAAAAACAGGGCCGGACTTTAAATTAGGAAATTAGTTTAAATAAATTGTGTTCAAATATCAAAACAAAAAAGCAATATTAAGTGTGGCACATCATTGTAATCAGGAGACCGAGTTCTTTCAAAATCTGAAATAAAAAGTGCAGGTCCGTATTTAAAAAAATTAAGTTGGCCTCTGTATCTCACAACTTATCAGCTAATTTGAAAATCTAAAAATACTACCAGATAGCTTTAATAAAGTGGTTATGATAATGTGCAATTAGTTTTTTGTTTTTCTAAAAAGTAACGACAGGAAAAAATAAAATTAATTTTCAAAAAAATCGGGTTTTTCCAAAAAAACTCAGCAATCCTTGAATATTTTAAAACTTTTTAATGGCATCTTGGTGAGCATCTCAAAGCGCAACTTTGCCCCAATTTAACCATGTTCGTATCTATTACGGTTACCGAGATACCAATGCTCGTACCTCGAATTTGTAGCACCCTGTATAGGCCTAAAAATTAAATTTTTGTCATACGCTCCCAAAAACAGCTATTTTACGGACTCATTTCAGTCCGTAAAATGTTTCTTTTTCGGCCTAGGCCGTAAAGGTCGTCATGGCAACCTTTATGGACTAAAATGTCTAAATTCGTTATTTGGTTGTTTTATTTTGTCATTCGAAATTTGTCACAAAATCACATAAAATTATACATATATTTATAATTAAATTATTAAATACTAACAATATCAAAAGCTAAGTTATTTGTTTAAAGTAAGTACCTAGGTACCTATTTAAAAGAGGCTTTTAAATTAAAATATTCTTAAATTACAGTCACAAACAAGACATAATCATGTGGTACATTTTTGGCCTAAGACAAGCATATTTTCTATACAACTCAACTGGATTGACAACGTTCCCTTCGTTCACCACCGGAAACACTCTTTTGATATTAGTTTTTGTATCCGCAAGGGTAACTAAAAGGCAGCTGTTGTCTTTTTCTATGATGTCTTGCACTCGTAGAGAGTACAATTCTTCTCTTCTACATGCTCCACAAAGGCCAATGACAAGAGCTACCTAAAAATCAAATACAATGGAATAAGAAACCATCTATATATTTTAAAAATCATTATCGCAAACTTACCTTAGTAAGTAAATAAGTTTCATCACTAGCCGTGGCCAAAAATCACCGATCTCTTTTATGGACAAAACCTTAGACTTTTAGGCTCGTAACCAACCGAATTCCTCTTCAAAAAAGCAATAAGTTTTGGAAATTTGTCAATATAAATATCTTCTTTAACACTTAACGCTGCTCTCAGCATGGAATATTTCGACCAAATTGACGATGGTTTGAATGTTTGTGACTGTAATTTAAGAATATTTTAATTTAAAAGCCTCTTTTAAATAGGTACCTAGGTACTTACTTTTCGTGGAAATAATTTAGCAATACATCTTCATTTACAACGAATACGCCATTTTTGTCTTTCCATTCATTAAAAACATCATATTCTTTCTGGTAAATGGCACGAGACTTCACAGGAAGTAAATCCAACACGATTTCTTTGGCCTTATTAGCAATAATATGTTCGGGATTTTGGAACATTTTAAAATTGTTGATGAATTTGTGTGATTTTGTGACAAATTTCGAATGACATGTCAAAATGCGATGAAATAAACAAACTCGTTACTAAGATATGAATTTATAAGCCAACTTTTTCAAACATTATAATTTCAAATATGGAAAATTTGCAAATATGCGTTCTAAAAAACTGTAAAAAGCGTATGACAAAAAATAGTGTATGTAACACGTACCTAAATTATGTTTTTTAGGACTCATCTACTATTTCGGACTCGGCTAACGCCTCGTCCGCAAACAGTAATGATTCGTCCTAAAAAACATCATTTTAGGTACTAGTTACATAAATAGCTATTATGAAATTGAATATTAATATACAACCTGATATTACGTTAGAATGAGGGTAAACTGTAGATAATAAACGTAATTCTAATATTTTATTTTACGTCTTGCCTGTCAATGTTGGTCGGCCATATTGGCGCCGAATTGACCAGCTGCGTAAAAAGCCGAAACAGCGAAATGTTGGCGACCTTTTTAAATTTCCCGCTAGTTTTGGCGCCAAAATGGCGGTAATTGCGGTACTTTATCTTTGTACTTTATATATCTAGGGACTTTAATTTTTTTAAACTTGCGTCTAGCCGTACCGTGCAACTCTTCAACTCCAAGCCACAGTTCCCGCTAAATTTAAATCGTGGGTTATTTTCTTGTATTTTATTATAAACTTGTAACTTTCGAGAGTAAGTTCTTAAGTAATAGTAGCATAATTAACCTAAATTTCAAAAACGTAACTTGCGTCTAGCCGTACCGTGCAACTCTTCAACTCCAAGCCACAGTTCCCGCCAAATTTAAATCGTGGGTTATTTTCTTGTCCTTTATTATAAACTTGTAACTTTCGAGAGTAAATTCTTAAGTATTAGTAGCATAATTAACCTAAATTTCAAAAACGTACAAATCGTATAATAATATATAACAGTTCTACAAAATCGATCGGGTATTTCGCATGCCATCTATAAACAAAAAAAACTTACACCAGAGACTAACCCACGCAATCAAAATACGCCTAACCATCGCTCTTACCGACATAGCTCTAAATAAATAAAAAAATAAAAACAGCTGTAAAAAAATTTAAAAAGTTCTACCTCTGCCGGGGATCGATCCACCACACCGTCCCGTTGCTCCCAAAGCGGCAGTCTCATCCAGGGGGGTGACAGTGAGATAGGAAAATTGGAAACAGTCATTAGTGTCATTCCTGCCATTCTCCTCACGACAAGTATGGCCGCCTAGACAAGGACAGCATTGTTTTTGTCTAACTTCACAGTTTAGAATTGACAGATTTCACTTTCAGAGACAACTTCAGATTTGTTCTAGAACAAATTCGAAAATATTCGACGCCAATTTAATTCATTCCGTTTAGTTTCGTTTTGGAAGTTCAATTTAATATTTCGGCTGAAATTTATAAATATAAAGGTAATAAAGTATATAAAATATATATTACATGAAGAATCCTGGAGAAAATGACGTTTCTGCAGTAGTAGGTATGTCCCATGTATATGAAAAATAGGTTGTAAATAAACACTGTTTTTACATTTTTTAGATGCAAGAAAATGGTGTTATAATCTCTTTGATCGGCGATTTTTTTGATAATGGAAACAATTTACAGCAAGGTAAGATCATTTTAACTATAGCCAACATTAGTTATCTCCAGTATGTGCGATTTATTGTCAATAATGCAATAAATCGGACTGATAATCTGATTATGTTATCTGACTAAAAGTCTCTTTTTGCATCTTTTTGATTTATAAGCCAGGTTCTTTGGGAATAATGGACGCTTTTTTTAAACAGTATATTTATATTTTATACCTATTGATATTTTTACATTGTTAATTTTAGTATAAAAAAATTGTTTTTCTGTTTTCAGGTTTTTGTATAAGGCTCCGGTTTTCATGTTCCTGTGTCCGTTTTCTGTCCTTGAAGTCTGCGAATACGTGTGTTTATTTACAAATTACTGTAAGTCATGCCTATACCTTTTTTACGTTAAAATGCCTTTTTTATTTACGTTAAAAGCCTTTTTTATTTACGTTAAAAGTGCACATAATTAACTAATTGGTATTGAAACAATACAATCCTCTATATTTTTATATTTATTTAGTCACGTTGTTCCATATTTTAAATAAATATATGTGAATAAATTATTTTTTGGTTTTATTTATGAAAAGAAAAAATACAAAATACATTTGAACTAAAAGAGGGCCCGCCATTGAATAACCGGAAACGGAAATGAAAATTAAGCCATCATGTCCTTATCATGTCAACCTGTCAATTGGAAAATTAGTTCTCCAGACGACAACGAAGGCTTTCGGTGGCGTATCGTGTTTCCACGATTTAACACAGAGTTGACACTTCTTTCTAGTTAATTATTTTATGGTCTCATCCACGGAGCTACATGCTGCTTTCGAAACCAAGCTATATTGAAGCATTACATTCTTCTGCCGTTCCAATACGCATGCGCCGGAACCACACAGCTAATCAACTCCGCTAATTTTCATGTACCCGCGCTTGACCTGCTGCGCCGCACACTGTGACGAAATTGAGAAATGCTGGACATTAGCGAATAAATCAATTGAATTTTTCTTTTACATGAATGCTAAGAGGACACTCACATGTTTACTATGCTAAAGATTTTTTCCTTCTTTTTATAGTAAGAGGACTATACTGGTTGAAAGTTAACGTATCTAGGAATCATCAAATCTTGGTTAAATTAATTCTCATTTTTAGGGTTCCGTACCGAAAGGTTAAAAACGGGAACCCTATTACTAAGACTTCGCTGTCCGTCCGTCTGTCACAAAGGTCTATCTTATGAACCGTTATAGCTAGACAGTTGAAATTTTTACAGATAATGTATCTGTTGCCGCTATAAGAACAAATACTAAAAACAGAATTATATAAATAAATGTTTATAAATAAAAAAGTACTTTCACTAAACATTATCGTTAAAGTAAGAATTTTACACAGAATATTTCAAGTCCTCAAGTGGCCGCGTGGTTAAAGGCGTTAGGACTTGAAGGCGTTGAGCCGTAGTGAGGCAGGTTCGAATCGTAGTCAAGGCGACTTTTTTTTAATCATTTTTTTTTATTTTTACATATTTTTACTTTCTACATATTTATTATTGATTAATACAATTTTTAGTAAAGTGTTTCTTCGTTTTTTTTTAATTACTTATACGCGCATTCAAAATTTCAGCTAAATCGGAAAAAAGTTTATAATAATATAATGTCTAATGTTGTATTGATAATGAATGGTACAAAACCCTTCGTGCGCGACTCCAAGTCGCACTTGACCAATTTTTTTTTAATATCTTTTTTGATGGTCTGCTAACATTTTTGCGTTTCGAATATTTTTTATTTGAAGAAATGATTTTTTATTTGAAGAAATGAAAATTTTTAAACAGCACTTTTCTTAGTGTCTTATTTTTTATATAAAACTGTATAAAACTACCGAGTGAAAAAATATACATTTCCATAGTTTTTACGTAAAATGGTTAGTACCCCCTTAGATTTAACTTTAATTTAATTTTAATTTCTATTGGTGCTGTGCGCTACTGTTGATTATTGATTGTTGAGTTTTCCATTATTTCTATGTTTGTTGTATTTTTTTTCTATTTTTAAATAAACATTTATTTATTTTTACAGGCATCCTTGCACAAAACATTTATATTTATTTAAATGTTTTTTTTCTGTTTTCAATAGACATATTTCCACTGACGAGTATATTGAGTATGTGTGTGGTGTGTGTATAAAAGATTATAATAATTTTTTTTTTTGAAAATTGTTCCTTGAGGTTATGGTCCCTAATAAAATGTTTTTTTTTAGATCAAACACATTTTCATAGTCAACGTTTCGATCTTTATCATAACCTTTTTTTGAGCGGAGCATTACACCACTTTGTGTAATGCTCCTCTGCGGGCGGGAGAGAGAAGAGTCTAGACCTTTGTTTGTGTTGTCCAGATACTAACAGTCACGATACTTGTCACGATTTAACCAATGCAAACCAAGTACACACTTCAGATATCCTTACTTATACACGTAATTAGATAAATTTCAGGAACTAAAATCATTGATTGCAGCATGACGAAAAGTCAGACGGTCTGCAATCAAAACTAATGCGCTGGCAAATTGCACCTTCATAGGAAGCAGAGCCATAGAGCTGCCACAGTGAGGGAGGCAGCTCATCATTACCATACCATACCACCTTTTTTTATAACCTTGGACGTCACAAAAACAAAATAATTATAAATTTACATTTTAACACAGTAATAGTCACACTACATTTAATATCAAACAAACATATTATAGACTATATGTTTGTTTGCAGAAACGTTGACTATGAAAATGTGTTTGACTTAAAAAAACCATTTTATTACAGACAAAGAATATCTTAATACCCTAGAAGTCTCGTCTGGCATCAAAATCTGACCTGTCGATGGGGCCTCGCTTTGGCGAGCGAGGCCCCAACTTCGTGGAGCCTCGCTATTTTGCTCGGAATTGAACGAATAGACGCGCGGCGTTGTCTTGTTTTGTGTGTACTTTCTTGAATAGTTTTAAATTATAGTTTTAAATTTTATCTATTGCTATAATCAGTCTTTCCGTTCTCCGCACTCCGCAGTTTACATATAATATTATCTTATATAATTCCCGTGTTACAGTTTTGGTTACCGTACTCCTCCGAAACGGCTTAACCGATTTTGATGAAATTTTATATGTATATTCAGTAGGTCTGAGAATAAGTAGTTATATATTTTTATACCCTTAAATGATAAGGGTAGTCCACCCCCATTTTTTATTTTGTGAAAAAACAATATTTTATTTTTTTTATTTGGCATTAAAAATACAAACAACACTAAATTTTCACCGTTCTACTTTCATCCCCTATTTTTTAATAGGGGTTGTTTTTTTAATTTTTTGTTACCATCTCCGAAACGGCTTAACCGATTTTGATAAAATTTTATATGTATATTCAGTACGTCTAAGAATAAGTTGTTATCTATTTTTATACCCTTAACTGATAAGGGTAGCCGAGAGGGTAACCCACCCTCATTTTTTTTAGTTTTTGAAAAAAAAAAATGTTTTTTATTTTTTTTATTTGGCATTAAGAAATACAAACAACCCTAAATTTTCACCGTTCTGCTATCATCCCCTATTTTTAATTGGGGTTGTTTTTTATTTTTTTTTGTTGCCATCTCCGAAACGGCTTAGCCGATTTTGATGAAATTTTTATATATTGAGTAGGTCTGAAAACAGGTTGTTATATATTTTTTATACCCTTAAGTGATAAGGGTAGCCCACCCCCATTTTTTTTATTTAAAAAAAATATTTTTATTTTTTATTTGGCATTAAAAATACAAACAACCCTAAGTTTTCACCGTTTTACCATCATCCCCTATTTTTTAATAGGGGATGTTTTTTTTAATTTTTGTTACCATCTCCGAAACGGCTTGATCGATTTTGATGAAATTTTATATGTATATTCAGTAGGTCTGAGAATACGTTGTTATCTGTTTTTATACCCTTAAGTGATAAGGGTAGCCCCCCCATTTTTTATTTTTTGAAAAAAAAAATATTTTAATTTTTTTTATTTGGCATTAAAAAATACAAACAACCCTAAATTTTCACCGTTCTACCATCATCCCTTATTTTTTAACAGGGGTTGTTTTTTAAGATTTTTTGTTACCATCTCCGAAACGGCTTAACCGATTTTGATAAAATTTTATATGTATATTCAGTACGTCTAAGAATAGGTTGTTACCTATTCTTATACCCTTAAGTGATAAGGGTAGCCGAGAGGGTAGCCCACCCTCATTTTTATTTTTGGAAAAAATATTTTTTTTATTTGGCCTTAAAAATACAAACAACTCTAAATTTTCACCGTTTTACCATCATCCCCTATTTTCTAATAGGGGTTGTTTTTTTAATACCATCTCCGAAACGGCTTGGCCGATTTTGATGAAATTTTATAAGTATATTGAGTAGGTCTGAAAATAGGTTGTTATATATTTTTTATACCCTTAAGTGATAAGGGTAGCCCACCCCCATTTTTTTTATTAAAAAAATATTTTTATTTTTTATTTGGCATTAAAAATACAAACAACCCTAAGTTTTCACCGTTTACCATCATCCCCTATTTTTAATAGGGGATGTTTTTTAATTTTTGTTACCATCTCCGAAACGGCTTGATCGATTTTGATGAAATTTTATATGTATATTCAGTAGGTCTGAGAATACGTTGTTATCTGTTTTTATACCCTTAAGTGATAAGGGTAGCCCACCCCCATTTTTTTATTTTTTGAAAAAAAAATATTTTAATTTTTTTTATTTGGCATTAAAAAATACAAACAACCCTAAATTTTCACCGTTCTACCATCATCCCTTATTTTTTAACAGGGGTTGTTTTTTAAGATTTTTTGTTACCATCTCCGAAACGGCTTAACCGATTTTGATAAAATTTTATATGTATATTCAGTACGTCTAATAGGTTGTTACCTATTCTTATACCCTTAAGTGATAAGGGTAGCCGAGAGGGTAGCCCACCCTCATTTTTTTATTTTTGGAAAAAAAAATATTTTTTTTTATTTGGCCTTAAAAAATACAAACAACTCTAAATTTTCACCGTTTTACCATCATCCCCTATTTTCTAATAGGGGTTGTTTTTTTGATACCATCTCCGAAACGGCTTGGCCGATTTTGATGAAATTTTATAAGTATATTGAGTAGGTCTGAAAATAGGTTGTTATATATTTTTTATACCCTTAAGTGATAAGGGTAGCCCACTCTCATTTTTTTATTTTTGGAAAAAAAAATAATTTTTTTTATTTGGCCTTAAAAAATACAAACAACTCTATATTTTCACCGTTCTACCATCATCCCCTATTTTCTAATAGGGGTTGTTTTTTTGATACCATCTCCGAAACGGCTTGGCCGATTTTGATGACATTTTATTATGTATATTGTGTAGGTCTGAAAATAGTTTGTTATCTATTTTTTATACCCTTAAGTGGTAAGGGTAGCCCACCCCCATTTTTTTATTTTTTGAAAAAAAAATTATTTTAATTTTTTTTATTTGGCATTAAAAAATACAAACAACCCTAAATTTTCACCGTTCTACCATCATCCCCTATTTTTTAATAGGGGTTGTTTTTTTTAAAGTTTCTTGTTACCATTTCCGAAACGGTTTTGCCGATTTTGATGAAATTTTATTATGTATATTGAGTAGGTCTGAAAATAGTTTGTTATCTATTTTTTATACCCTTAAGTGATAAGGGTAGCCCATTCCCATTTTTTTATATTTTGAAAAAATATATATTTTTATTTTTTTATTTTGCATTAAAAAATACAAAGAACCCAAAATTTTCACCGTTCTACCATCATCCCCCTATTTTTTAATAGGGGTTGTTTTTTTAATTTTTTGTTACCATCCGTGAAACGGCTTTGACCGATTTTGATAAAATTTTATATGTATATTCAGTACGTCTAAGAATAGGTTGTTATCTATTTTTTATACCCTTATGTGGTAAGGGTAGCCCACCCCATTTTTATTTTTTGAAAAGAAAAAATATTTTTATTTTTTTAGTTGGCATTAATAAATACAAATAACCCTAAATTTTCACCGTTCCACCATCATCCCCTATATTTTAATAGGGGTTGTTTTTTTTTTAATTTTTTGTTACCATCTCCGGAACGGCTAGACCGATTTTGATAAAATTTTATATGTATATTCAGTAGGTCTGGTTTGGTTTGGTTTGGTCACAACCTATTCCTAGGTTGTTATCTATTTTTTATACCCCTAGGTGATAAGAGTGGCCCACCCCAACTTTTTTTTTTTTTTTTAGACAAATTTTTTATTTTAATTGTTTTATAGGGAGTGCTTATTTTTTAGGGGGTGCATGTCCAAAATTTTCTTCTGGGTACACACATTCATCACTTAAGGAACCTCTGTACAAAATTGCATACTCCTAGTCCTAGAACGGATTTTACATAAAAATTATACAAATTTTCACCCCTAGTTTTACCCCCTTAAGGAATGAATTCCAAAAATCACTCTAATTATTCAATTACGCTAAATAAATAACCTCTGTGCAAATTCTCATATTCCTTGAACAGAATTTATTTTTCCAGAACGTTCAACCCCTCATTTCACACCCTTAGAGGGCGAATTTCCAAAAATTGCTTCTTAGTGCTAAATTGCGTTACATAAGGAACGTCTGCAAATTTCATACTTCTAAAACCGATTTTAACAAATTTTTGTACAAATTTTCATCCCTTATTTTTTAGGAGATGCATGCCTAAAATTCGCTTCTAGGTACTCACTTTCATCATTTAAGGGACCTCTGAACAGAATTTCATACTCCTAGTCCTAGAACGGATTTTACATAAAAAATTATACAAATTTTCACCCCTAGTTTTACCCCCTTAAGGAATGAATTCCAAAAATCACTCTAATTATTCAATTACGCTACATAAGGAACCTCTGTGCAAATTCTCATATTCCTTGAACAGAATTTATTGTTCCAGAACGTTCAACCCCTCATTTCACACCCTTAGAGGGCGAATTTCCAAAAATTGCTTCTTAATGCTAAATTACGTTACATAAGGAACGTCTGCAAAATTCATACTTCTAAAACCGATTTTAACCTTTTGTACAAATTTTCATCCCTTATTTCTAAGGGATGAATCCTCACTTTCGTCACTTAAGGAAACTCTGTACAAAATTTCATACTCCTAGAACTAACACTTTTTGTACAAAATTTCACCCCCCAGTTTCACTACCCTTAGGCATACATTTCCAAAAATCGCTTATCAATGTTCAAATGCGCCACATCTGTGCAAAAGTTCATACTCCTAGTAGGTACAGATTTTTTTTTTGTATAATTACATCCCTTTATCTAATTACACCCCCTTATGGGTCGAATTTTAAAAAAATACTTAGTAGTGCTCATCTTAGAGAACGAATTAATATTCTCCGTATTTACTCCAGTTTCCTAATACTAGCACAGATAACACATAATCATACTAGTTAATTTTTTATTGGAATAGAAGTAATTTTTATTAGAAGGTACAAAAAAATTAAAAATCTAAAATTTTATTTTCATAGCTACGTTTTTTTTTCATAGCCTTAGGATGCCTCATGTACTATCGAATATACGAAATATATAATCAATACATATTTCTTTAAATATCGAGAAATAAAATATGTTTGGCAACACCGTACCAAATATCGCCGCGCGTAGTCCTCAAAATTTAAAATATTAGCATTTTCAGGCTTCGATTATGTTCAAAAGCGCCACCGTATGACAAATCACTAAAGCTTCCACACGAGAGTTCTTAAAATTACAGACCATAATCCCAGGAAAGTAAAAAGCAATTTTCACAAAAAATATACAGGATTCGGCAATAGTGCGTCGGGCATTTGTAGCTCCTAGAATAAAAAACTTTGAGAAAAGAAAAAAAAAAGAAATTTTGTGTAAGTGCAAACCATGTGAAAGTATGTACTAGGATGTATTTCAAGAAAATATTTTAATTTCTATAGGGTGGCTTAAAAAAGTGTGAGTGGATTGGGATGATTGTTTTAAATGGAACACACACTGTATATTATTACATTTTAGGCTTCCTTTCAGATTACTTTACATAATCCTAAGACATGAGTAAATATATTTCGATAATTACAGAGATATTAATAAATAATTAAAAATTATATTTTTTTCAGCCTTTCTTAAAAAATGATCAAAAGTACAAGAACTATTCTGAAGTCAAAACTATATACAGGGTGGTCCGAATTGTATTCTGGAAACTTCGGCAGCATATTCTGCAGATAAAAATAAGTAAAAATGTTCGTACAAATGTATGTCCTAAAATGCTTAGTTTCGGAGATACAGAGTGTAGAAGTTTCATTTTTATTTCGATTTTTTCCAAATAATTTATAAAGTAACGTCAATATTTGGATGAAAATTGCTGCCTGGGAGTTTTTTGATATGATAAATTTGATTTTGATGTCAATATGACTCCTACTCGTAGAGGGCACCACCTACATATTTTTTAACTGGTTTGAAGAGTAATAACTTTTCGTCCGTACATGTATAAAAATACTGAGTAAAAAAATATACATGCTAAGAGTAATGGTTCTCGAGATATTTGGAATCGAAATTATCAATACCTATCATCATTGAAATAAAATAAACATGTTGACTAAATAGTTATTAGACTGAAATCACCAACTTGAAATGTTTTGTGCCCAAAGTTCAACAGAAATTGTGTTATCATCATTTTTTCGCTGAAAAGTTTATGATTAATTTGAAAAAACAAAAATTTCACTAATTTATTATTTCAGTTAAGTAACTATCTACACAACGTATTTATTTTTTGTCAATAATAACATGTATTGACTCTTTTCATTCTAAATATCTTGAGAACGATTACTTGTAGCGATTTTTACCAAGAGACATTTTTTACGTAAAAAGCCATGGAAATGTATATTTTTTACTCTATACATTTATACAGGTACGGACGAGAAAAGTTATTATTTTTCAAAACAGTTAAGACATGTAGGTGGCGCCCTCTACAAGTAGGAGTCATATAGACATCAAAATCAAATTTCTCATGTCAAAAAACTCCCAGAATACCAATTTTCATGCAAATATTGACTTCAGAAATTATTTGGAAAAAATCGAAATAAAATTAAAACTTTTACACCCTGTATCTCCCAAACTAAGCATTTTAGGACATACATTTATACGAACTTTTTTACTTATTTTTATTTCCAGAATATGCCGCCGAAGTTTCCGGAATACAGTTCGGACCACCCTGTATATATATAACGACATCAGCAGACATACAGATTTGGATCTCTTCCACTCTTTTTTTTTTAAAAGGAACATCCTGTATATTATTTTTTCAACAGATAGAAAATTAAAAATTAACATTTTTTGTATTTAGAGTATTTCAAAATTTTTAACGGTTTCACAGATATTTCCGGTTTTATATTTCATATGGCATTTTCCACAGTAAATTTTCATCAATTTTCATCAAAGCCACCTAATGATTTTTCTCTAGTATTTTACCATTGAAAGCGCCATATGAATAATAATGCGTGTATCTGCAAAACTATTAAAAAATTTGAAATACTTTAAATACAAAAAATGTTCATTTTTTTAATTTTCCATTTATTGAAAAAATAATATAGAGGGTGTTCCATTTAAAAAAAAACAAAGAAAAAATATGTCATATTTTAGAGTTTGGCATAGATTGAACATCCTGTATGATTTACGATTACCATATTTATAGCAAAGTAAGAACAGACCATCTAAAGTAAATACCTAATATAGTTATGATTTCAGAACTGTTCTTGTATTTTCAATATTTTTTTTTAAGAAGGCCTGAAAAAATACATTTTTGACTTATTTTTTAATATCTCTGGAACTATCGAAATATATTTACTGATATCTTAGGATTATGTAGTCATCTGAAAGGAAGCCAAAAATGCAATAATATACAGTGTGTTCCATTTAAAAAAAATCATCCCAATCCACTCACACTTTTTTTGAGCCACCCTATAGAAATTAAAATATTTTCCTGAAATACATCCTGGCACATACTTTGTATGCACTTAAACAAAATTTTCAAGTTTTTTATTCTAGGAGCTACAGCTGTAAGACGCACTATTGCCGGACCCTGTATATCTATTATCCAAAGAATGATATAATCCAATAAGGATTATAATAGATATTATAAACATTATAGAACTGCTTACCAATTTGAGCATCCAATATTCCACCAGTAAATTTTATTCCTTATAATTTAACAGCGCCATAGGCTAGACCAGCCCAGACACCAACAGTTAACGCGTGGTCCAAAAAAGATCTAACTTTGAATTGGGTTTTTTTTGCCAAAGAATACTTGATCGTACAACAAAGATAAGAGAAAAGTGACTATCAAGATGTTCTCGTAGTTAAAATTGCCTGTAGCAACAATGCAAGTTTGTAAAAAAGCCTAAAAATATAATCAATTTATTTTAGAGAACTTGAACTTATAGTCACTATCATAATAGTGGGTTTTTATTCTGCCATAGTATAAGTATAAGAAGTAGTTTATCTCAACACTATTGACAGTAAGTAGTATTAATTTAATTATTATTATTATTTAGTTATCATAAAAATAACGGCATTTAACTTAACATTTCAAAAGATGTTCCTTGCTTAAAAGTAGAAAAACTCTTGTACTTTATTAAAAATTATAGATATTTAAAATATGTTTCTAAGAACTTTTCTTATCCAAAAATATCCTTATGGGTTTTTCGCCACTGCACTGCAAGAAAAATCTACAAAATAAAATAGTTATTTTTTGTAAACACTTCTGGCGTTAAACCTAAACGGACGCTGCTTGTCAGAAGTTGTGTTTACAGTAATAAAAATTTGCCTAACAAAGAAAAAAATGCTTAACGTTTCGGAAAGTTTTCTCTTTCCGTCGTCGGAAACAAAAAAATATAAAGAATCAAGAAAAAAACTATTTAAAATATTTAAATTGAACTATTCGAGAACACTTTACTTTTTATAACAGATACGTCTACAAGAAATCGTTGACATTCTATTAATAACTAAATATAATAATATAATATATATTATAATTATAATTTATTATATATTATAATTTATTATATTTTTATTTATTATATATTATAATTTATTATACGTATTAATTTGGTTTTTTTTCTTGTAGACGTATCTGTTTTAAAAAGTAAAGTGTTCTTGAATAGTTCAATTTAAATATTTTAAATAGTTTTTTTCTTGGTTCTTTATATTTTTTTGCTTCCGACGACGGAAAGAGAAAACTTTCCGAAACGTTAAGCATTTTTTTCTTTGTTAGGCAAATTTTTATTACTGTAAACACAACTTCTGACAAGCAGCGTCCGTTTAGGTTTAACGCCAGAAGTGTTTACAAAAAATAACTATTTTATTTTGTAGATTTTTCTTGCAGTGCAGTGGCGAAAAACCCATAAGGATATTTTTGGATAGATGAATCCGCCACATAGGTATAGACATTTTTTAACTTTTCTTATTTTTAACCAGGATAACTCGTAGTTACCTGTAAACTGCTCCGTCGCAGACTTTTCGTTGTCTTGTTGTATCTATCAACAGCAGTAGTCTGAACTAAGAAGCTTGTTACATATCCCAGCTTTTGGGTTGGAACGTATATAATCTGGATGATTTACTTTACCCACTGGAGATGGATAGCCTATAAAACTGCACTTTTCAGTACTTTTCACATAACACATAAACATAAATGTAGACTTGACCTGTTATGAAATGGTCTGAACATACAGCTGCATATCGTAATTTGGTAATTATTGGGAAAACTGGAAATCGTCCGATTTTCACCAAAATTGGTATACACCCTATTTTGAGGTCGTAGATTAAGAATCTGAACTTTTTTCCTGGCGGTCTCTTACCGTTTTTCAGAAAAACGGAAAATAATTTCGACATTGGGTTCCAGTCAATCTTACGGACACTAAAAACATTAAAATTTCCATACAGATTAGGTAGAAACATCGAATATTAGCACTTTACTACAATATATAGATGTGGATTGACCTAGTTTAAGCACAAAAATTCAAGAAAACCTCTTTGTAAGAGTAAAAATTAAGAAAATACAGGTATTTACCATATTTACAATATTCCGAGATAAAACAACCATTGACTTTTTGCTTGACACATTGACAGTTGATGGACGGTCGACCCAGTGCCTTCTATTAAAAGATCAGCCTACGGGCGAGATTTATGACGTCACGCTAGTTAGATATAACGGATTAATAAATATGTTGTAGAATACATGGAAAACATAATTATTCCTCAGATTTTTGGTTTGTATTTTAAAAATGATATAGTTTAAATGAAATATACATAATATACAGTTAATAACTACAACATATATACCTATTTATAGTAATAAATACTTTGGCAAATAAACTATGAACCATACAAATGCAGCAAATGTTTTACAATGTACAAATAATGTATAGGTACATAAGATAATGGGTAAAATGTAAATATATTTTAAATTTTGGGGTTTGAAAGTCGATTTAGTTTAACAAAAAACATTCAGTATCTACTAATAGTGATGTATTATTATTTGCATTCACAAAATTTATATGTATATTTTGCAAGTATCAATGTTCGAAAAATTATATTTACAAATAATACAATATTATCTAAAAAAAGGCGTCAGCGATAGCTATGAAATGAAGATCGCTGGCATTTTATATAATAAAATTATTCTAAAATTTTTGATTTTCTTGGGATTTTTAGGTTCGGGAAAAACGCTGATTTAAGTTTTCATTTGGGTTTCATTTATTTTTATTTGGTTTAAAAAACGTTTCGGCTAACTATAGCCTTCATCAGTGTTGTGTCATATGAGAAAAATAGTGTCGAATATAATCCAAAAATTACATATACAATATAATTCACACCTCATAATGTTTACTGCAATTAATAAACTAATATAAACTTATCAAAAGATGACCACATATTTTTTAAAATTATTATTCTTAACACTAAAATTATCTACATTGACTATGGAGTACGCAATAAACATTATGTGTGTGGTGTGAATATTTTATATGTAATTTTTTGAATTATATTCGACACTATCTTTTTCATATGACACAGCACTGATGAAGGCTATAATGTTAGCCGAAACGTTTTTTTTTAAACCAAATAAAAATAATGAAAAACGAAATGAAAACTTAATCAGCGTTTTTCCCGAACCTAAATCCCAAGAAAATCAAAAAATTTAAAATATTTTTTAGAAACCAGGTTCAAGAATATCAAATTTTCCAAGTTTGTAAAATTCTAGTTAATTATTTTATGTGTACATGGTGCAACTAGACGCCGATTTGTTTCAATGATACGGTATAATCCTTACGTAAAATGTAAATAACATAGACCAATTAAAACAAAGAAATATGAATTTCTTAGTATTTTTAGTAACACCTTTATTCTTAAAACTTAATTTTGTAGTATGCAAATATACCAATTTTATTGTTATTTTATTCATATTGTATTCAGCCATCACTTAAATATTTGATATTAATTTGGTATTATAAATAATCAATACTATTCATTAAAAATTACTGAATAAATATATGTTATGCTTGACAACTTGACATACATTATATATTATCAAACAAAAACACATTCTTCTTTTAAACTGTATCAGTCTTGTCTTTACAAAAATCTTTTTTAAAATTTGAACTCAAAATAATAATCTTTTTCATGATCTTTAATACACATATTCTTTATTTTCCCCTAGATCATAATACCTACTTACGTGTTTGAATCTATCGAAGCTGAACCAACAACACTTGGAGTGGAGATTCCACAATATGAATAAAATAAACATAATTGTCCAGTTTTCATTAATACCATCATGGGAGAATATTATTTTTAAATTTATTAAAGATATTTTCAATAGAATTTTCTTGATTTATAACTCGTACCCACTTTTCTTGCTCTTCCGGACACTTTAGGCTGCCTAGTATAACTATCCTTTCCACCAGGAATATAACAAAGATGAGGCATAGCACCAAAAACACACTCCACTTAAGCTTTATTGATGAATTGTTTTTGAGTTATTGTTAGAGTCTTAAAAAACACACACAAAAATCACGATGAGTAAAAAATGTATGTGCACTTTTAGGTTAAATCACTTACACAACGTGTAATTTTTCAATTTTTCTATTTTTTTATGCGAAACCGAGAGTGACCATATATCTGGTAGTAGTTTATGTCACTTACACACCAAAATAATTAGTTTTTTGCACTACAGTAATAAATAATACCAAAAATCATAGAGTTAAAACCAAAAATCAACCGACAAAATATGAAACGGAATCTAACCCAATATCTAAGTATGTACAGCTGATGAAGTAAACAAAAGTCCTCCCCTAGGCTGATCTTTTAAAGAACGGCAGTGGGTCGACGGTCGACGTTCGACGGCCTTCGCATGCTATTTGCGACGTTGTCAATATAATTATTTTATATAATTTTCTATGTGGTTTTTATACTGGGCGTGTTCAGGGACGGTCAGCGGCTGAGTGGCTGAGTAAGCGGTTTCCCTAAACGGTCTCTTTTTACACGCAAAAACAGTCAGCCGCTGAGCAAAATACTCAGCGGTCGGTCAGCCGCTCTGACTGTGATTTTGCAAAAATATTACTAGATTGGTAGGTAAAGGTGTGGATCCGGTGGCTGACCTTGAAGCCCATATTTGCTGCATTTGATCATCCATACTACGCAAACGCACATCGTCAATGTTGCCAAATTGCAGTTTATTTTCGAATTATTTGCAGTTGAAATTTTTTTTTTGAGTGTTAATCAATTATAATACAAATTCTATAATTAATTTTATAATTTCAGATTTATCTTGATATCCAAAATTAAGGTAAGAAAGATAATGAAGATTGTGAAATGAAAGTATTATGAATATATAAAATTGTAATAATAATAACATTTATTTATATATTTACATTAGAATTAAAAATTATCATTTACGGATTTTTTCTTAATGGTTTTAAACTTATTAGAATTATTTTATTTCTTTCAAGTTATTTAGTTTCTAGTTATTTATAGGCAACAATAGTTTTGATTATATGTATTGATGTATTGAAGTACTACCATGGACGAGTCTTATAGAACAATACACGTCAATGGGAGATAGAGGTAACATTTTACCTATAATGTTACTAATATAATATACTTTGATTATAATGTTTGTATCATAATTTCTTAAAAATAGCAAGTTAGTGGATTAATAACAATTTTAGACATATATATTTTATCGAAAAGTGTGTTGATAAGACTAAAATAAGCTTTATGTTTTATCTTTTTCTCTTTAGAAGGGAGATGGTCTGTGTCGTAGAATACATTACAGTATTTGGTTTGGTATTTAATATCGTGTACTTTGATATTCTTTTCTCAATTTACTGCAATTTCTTGTTTCCTATAATGCCAAATCTTGACAATATAGTGAATGTTGAGTTTTGATCTTATTAGTTTTATACCTGTGTTTATACAAGACCAAATTAAGACTTAGTTAGTTTGTGATTCATATTAAGATCTTTCTTATAATATTTGTTATGTCTTAATCTTAATACTTTTTCTGGAAAATAAATGTTAAAATATCTTAATTTTGCATATCCTATTCCATGCATCCTTCCATTAGGAAAAATATCGTTGATAAATCATATATGCTAAGAAAATCATATAAATTAGGTGTAAGAATAGAGAAATCTTAAGGTAGCAGAAAAATTAATGCAATACACAGGGTCAGGCAATAGTGCGTCGGGCATCTGTAGCTACTAGAATAAAAAACTTGAGAATTTTGTTTAAGTGCAGACCTAAAGTATGTACCAGGCTGTATTTCAGGAAAATATTTTAACTTCTATAGGGTGGCTCAAAAAAGTGTGAGTGGACCTGGTTGATTTTTTTTTAAAATTGAACACCCTGTATATTATTGCATTTTTGGCTTCCTTTCAGATCACTTTACATAACCCTAAGATATGAATAAATATATTTCGATAGTTTCAGAGATATTAATAAATAAATAAAAAATATATATTTTTCAGTCCTTTTTAAAACAATTATTAAAAATACAAGAACTGTTCTGAAATCAAAACTATGTTAGGTATTTACTTTAAATGGTCTATTCTTACTTTGCTATAAATATGGTAATCGTAAATCATGTTGATCAATGATGTTCAATATTCTAAGCCAAACTTTCAAAAATATAAAATAATTTTTCTTTGTTTTTTTAAATGGAACACCCTGCATATTATTTTTTTATTAGATGAAGAATTAAAAGATTAACATTTTTTGTATTTAAAGTATTTCAAAATTTTTAATATTTTTCCGGATACACGCAGTATTATTTCATATGGCGCTTTCAATGGTAAAATACGAGAGAAAAATCATTGGGTGGCTTTGATAAAAATTTACTGTGGAAAATGCCATATGAAATATAAAACCGCAAATATCTGCGAAACCGTTAAAAATTTTGAAATACTCTAAATATGAATACAAAAAATGTTCATTTTTTAATTCTCCGTCTACTGAAATAATAATATACAGGGCGTTCCATTTAAAAAAAGAAAAATTATTTTATATTTTAGAAAGTTTGGCGTAGAATTTTGAACATCCTGTATGATTTACGATTTTCATATTTATAGCAAAGTAAGTACAGGCCATCTAAAGTAAATACCTAATATAGTTTTGATTTCAGAACAGTTCCTGTATTTTTAATAATTTTTTTAAGGGCTGAAAAATATATATTTTTGATTTATTTTTGAATATCTCTGTAAACTATCGAAATATATTTATTTATATCTTATTGTTATATATAGTGATCTGAAAAGAAGCCAAAAATGCAATAATATACAGGGTGTTCCATTTAAAAAAAATTATCCAAATCCACTCACACTTTTTTGAGCCACCCTATAGAAGTTAAAATATTTTCCTGAAATACATCCTGGTACATACTTTAGGTCTGCACTTAAACAAAATTTTTAAGCTCTAAAAAATAAATGATATTGTTTACTAAATGTGTAATTTATTTACTATGAATTTTTTCTCTGAAAATAATAAGTCTTTAATAATATCATTGATTTGCTGTGTAAAGTTAATAGACATATTTTTTAATACTTTAAATTATATT